TGGAGAGAGCCCCGCAGTGACCGAAAGGGAATCGGGTTAATAATCCCGAACCCGGACACGGAGATTGGTCCTTCGGGGCCCAGTGCGGTAACGCAAACCAGCTCGGAGACGCCGATGCGAGCCCCGGGAAGAGTTTTCTTTTCTCTGTAAGGAGATCGAGTCCCTGGAATGGGTTCGCCCCGAGATAGGGATGGTGGCTCCGTAGAGCAGTGCGGTTCTTGCGCTGTCCGGTGCGCTCGCGTCGGCCCTTGAAAATCCGAGTGAGGGAGTGTGATTTTCGTGCCGGACCGTACCCACATCCGCAGCAGGTCTCCAAGGTGAACAGCCTCTAGTCGATGGACCAATGTAGGTAAGGGAAGTCGGCAAAACGGATCCGTAACCTTGGGATAAGGATTGGCTCTGAGGACTGAGCCGGTCGGGCTGGGGACCTGAAGCAGGAACGGCACTGCACCGGGACTGGGCGGGGCTCGCCGTTCACGCGGCGTGGCCAAGCCCGGACCAGCGTCGGGACCTTCCTGTGGAAAGCCTCAGCTGCGCGGCGTCTGAGGGCTTCGTGCCCAAAGTGCTATGCTTCGGCCGGCAAAAAACAGTCAACTCAGAACTGGCACGGACCGGGGGAATCCGACTGTATAATTAAAACAAAGCATTGCGATGGCCGCTGGTCGGTGTTGACGCAATGTGATTTCTGCCCAGTGCTCTGAATGTCAACGTGAAGAGATTCATCAAAGCGCGGGTAAACGGCGGGAGTAAATATGACTCTCTTGTTCGGCTGTGCATGCTAGGACTGGAGGTGTACCGGGGGTTGGGCCCGATCAGTCCGGCACCTACCTTGTCCCGTCAGTCATGCTCAGTCATGGCTTCGGTCACATGACATCCGCAGAGGCAATGGCCAGTGGACGGAGAGAGACTCGGAGCATGGCGAAGGCACGGGTGGCAGGCATTGCCGGAAGTGTCGATGAGAGCCGGAAACGAGTGCCTCCCTCCGGTCAATCTGGCAAAGGCAAAGGTGAGGGGAACACCTTGCGACCGCAAAAACCCCCGTTGCTACGGGTGGTCGAGGAGCATAGAGAACCCCTTGGTCGGCCCACTCCGAGTGTTGAACACTCGGGCGGTAGGGCCTGCAGGCGATCGAGCCAGCTGGGTCCATCAACCCCAGGTGGAGGTTCATCGCCTGTGTACGGAGATTCTGACGAGGGAGAGGCTGCGGGACTGATAACCCCAAGGCTCCTCTGCTCCGACGATGATCCGGGCCATGTGAGGCAATCTCAAGCTCCTCCTAGAAGCGGCAGTAGCCAGAGTAGTCCCATGCTCTCGGTGGGTGATGACACCGGGAGCCCAATGTGTGATGAAGGTACAGGAGATGGCATCGCGGGTTCCTCGAACGTTTCCGAGGATAGCCGCACTTTAGGAACCCTCGGGAACACTTTAGTGGTTAACCGTGTCGATGCTGAGGGTGGTCACCCTGCATCGGCCACTCAGGGGTTAGAGACTGCAACTGGAGCTGTCGTTGCAGCCCAGTTCTCTTGCCGGGAGTGTGGACAGTGCTTTTCCACAAAAATTGGGTTGGGTGTCCATCGCCAAAACAAGCACAAAGCCGCCTACAACGCTGAGATCTCAGTTGATCGCGTGAAGGCACGATGGACCCCAGAGGAGTCGTATCTTCTGGCGAAGATGGAGGTGGGGTTGCTTCGGTCGGGTGTTAAAAACATCAACCAGGCACTCCACTCTGCTTTGCAGAGATACGACTCTGACAAAAGTGCAAGTCGCTCCTATGACGCTGTAAAGAGTCATAGGAAAATGGAGACCTACCGGGCAACAGTGACCCGACTTCTGGCAAGTGGAGACAGTACACATGAAGTTAGACCTGCACCCACGGAGTCCGTGACGACTGTCACGGGGGCGAAGAAGTTCCGCAGGTCTCTCGCATGATTACCCGGAGTAGAGGTGAGGTGCTCAGACACCACACCCAGCAGAGTCTAGGTCCAGTGCAGCGCGACCACGACGGTGACCATAACGTTCCAATAGAACAAGAGGAAGATCCCGTGCAACCTCAGATAGTCCTCGATGAACCTGCGGAGCGGTCTCGGTTGAGGCTACTCCAAGAGATCCGCAGTTTGACGGGTAGACAGGCCCCGAGGACGCACGGGGGTGCAGAGTTGTGGATTTTGTCGCGGCTGGCTCTTGATGGGGTTGAGGTGGCCGCACCATTGAACAACTACATCCGGGAATATTTCTTCCGGGATGTGCGGCCGGTTCCGTCCCATCGAGGTTGGCAGCGTCGTCCACAGCGGCGCCTTAGTCGCAGGAAACAGAAGGAAAAGGACTACGCTCTGGTTCAGGAACAATTCCGGAAACGCCAATCGGAGTGTGCCCGGGAGATCCTGGACGGAAAGGCAGCAGCTGAGGTTGAAGAACCAGAACAGTTCCTCAAGGAGTGGGAAACCATCATGGCGGGTCCAGTTCCGCCCCCCATCGCTGAGGAGGTAAGTGTTGTTGGTCCAGCCTTGGATCCCTTTTTTCTTATTAGTGCACAGGATATTAAACAGTCCTTCCCCCCTATGGGTTCTGCACCGGGCCCCGATGGTTTCACTTCGCGTGACCTCCGGAAGGTACCCATGCCAATTTTGAGGGTAGTGCTAAACTTGATCATGCTGGGCCGTCAGGTACCAGTGTGTCTTAGGGGGGGTAGAACGGTTTTCATACCGAAAAAGGAGGGTGCACGGGATCCAAGGGATTTCCGTCCGATAACGGTAGCCCCAGTGCTACTCAGATTGTTCAATAAAGTAATGTCTCGACGGCTCCTCGCCGCGGTAGACCTTGATCACCGGCAGAGGGCTTTCATTCCTGTCGACGGCTGTGCGGAAAATGTAGCCATTCTGGCTACCGCATTAGATGAGGCTAAGACCTCGAGGAAACCCCTGTTCCTTGCCAGTGTGGACCTCACCAAGGCGTTCGATCGGGTTTCCACGGAGGCCATCCTACGGGGGGCAGCCCGTGCCGGTCTCTCGGCACCGTTTCTGGAGTACCTGCAGAGTCTGTATGGAACCTCGGAGACGGTGCTCGGGTATGGAGGGAAAACGCTCTTGGTGAGGCCCACTACTGGGGTGAGACAGGGAGATCCTCTTTCACCTGTACTGTTTAACCTCGTGCTGGACGAGTGGCTCAGCGACCTCGACCCCGAGATAGGGTTCACTAGTGGGGAGTTTAAAGTCGACGCCATGGCTTTTGCCGACGACCTGGTCGTAATGGCGTCGACTCCGCGGGGACTCCAGGAAAGACTGGATGACCTCGCGGCCTTCTTGGGCCCACGAGGTTTGGAGATTAACGCTGCCAAATCTTTCACACTTGCCCTCCAGCCGTCTGGGAAAGAAAAGAAAGTTAAGGTTGTCACAACCACCATCTTCCATGTCAACAACGAGCAGCTTCCCGCCAACGATACAGCGACGGTGTGGCGCTACCTGGGCATCTCGTTTTCCGCCGCAGGCAGGGCGCCCATGCTGTTGGAGCGGGAGCTTGCGCTGCTGTTGGGTAGGGTGTCTCGGGCACCTCTGAAGCCTCAGCAGCGTCTGGTGGTCCTGAGGACCTACCTGATGCCTCGTCTCTATCATCGTCTTGTCCTCGGCCCCTTTGCGGCCAAGCTGCTTGTCAAGTTGGACCGCCTCGTGCGTGCCTCGGTAAGGCGTTGGCTAGCACTGCCGCATGATGTGCCGCTCGGCTACATTCATGCAGAAACTCCGGCCGGCGGGTTGGGAGTCCCCTGCCTCAGAACCGCCGTGCCAGGACTGCAGATGCACAGGTACGAGCGTTTGGCACAGAGCAGCCACCCGTCCTGTGCTCAGACCCTGCGTTGCCGCCTCATAAAGGAGGCCCTACGGCACGCCGATCGTCTGTGCACGTACGAAGGTGCGCAACTGCGATCCAGTGAAGCACGTTGCCGGTTCTGGGCGGGGAAGCTCCACCGCAGCTGCGACGGACGTGCACTCGCTGAGTGCGGCAATGTGCCCGGCTCACAAAGATGGGTGGCCGAGGGAACTCACCTCTTGCCTGGCCGGGAGTTTATTGATTGTGTCAAGTTGCGTGTGAACGCCATGCCGAACCGGACACGCACGAAGCGCGGTCAGGGTGGCAGCAAGAGATGTCGTGCTGGCTGCAACGAGCCGGAGAGCCTGGGACACATCCTTCAGCGGTGCCACCGCTCTGACTTCAAACGTATAAAAAGGCATGACAACATTGTAGAGGAGCTTGCGACTCGCCTGCGGAAAAGGAGGTGGGATGTCCGGGTTGAGCCCACCGTACAAACGTCGGAGGGTAACCGTTTCCCAGACCTCGTGGTGTCCAAGAAGGACACGCAGGTTATTTTGGACGTCCAGGTTGTCGGCCTTCGCATTAGTCTGGGTGATGCGCACCGTCGGAAGGTTGCAAAGTATTCCGTGCCGGAGGTCCTGGAGCAGGTGCGGGGGAGCCGTCAAACGGATCCCCTTGTATCCAGTGTCACCCTTTCCTACAGAGGTGTGTGGGCGTCCGAGAGTGCCCAGGTTCTAGCGGACCTGGGTCTCGGACGCGAAGATTTTAAAGTCCTAACAGTGAAGTGTCTCCAGGGGGGCCTGGTGTGTTTCCGTGTTCATCAGCAGATGACGACTGTGGCGTACCCACGGGTGATGGCGCGTTTGGCGCCCTAATAGTGCCTCCGCAACTAACCCCCCCACTTTCTAACTCAGTGGGGGTTTTGAAGGTCGCTCTCCCTTGAATGAGAGTTATAATACGTTTTTCTTCCTTTTGTCGGGTGCGGGGGGTGCTCACGCTTACCTGGAGAGGGCGTAACTCGGTCCCCCTAACCCCCTTTTCCTTTTCATCTGGGGTCGGGTTGGGTTCCGTTTGGGTCCCTAGTCGGGGGGTTAACTCTCCCGAACTGGGGGCTGGACGGCCGGTTCGTTGCCCAATGGGTTCAAGCCACAGTGCCCTTCAGTCTGCCCGACGATGAGGGAGAAAAAGTTAAAAAAAAAAAAAATAGCCAAATGCCTCGTCATCTAATTAGTGACGCGCATGAATGGATTAACGAGATTCCCACATACGACCGTCTGTTTGGTTTTGCGCTGGATCTCATTAACCAAAACACGGCACTGGCTGCCAAAATGGAAGCGTACAAGGAAGAGAGGGAGAGGGCCCCAGCCCCCGCAGCCCCGTCCCCCACGCCGGAGAGTGTTGCCGCCCTGCAGCGCACCTTCTCGCAGGTTCTCCAGCAGAACCCGGCGACTTCGAGCCCGAGCCCCGCCGGCCAGCAGCAGGGAGGGGCATCACCCGAGGCCCCCAAGCCAACAACACCACCCTCAGCCCCCAGGGAGAGCCTTTTGATCTACCCTGCAACCAAGCCAGCAGCTGGGGTGGAGCCATACGCAGGGATCTCCCACCTGCTGCGTACTACCTTCCAGCCCGCGGACCTCGGACTCGGCTGCGTCGAGATCAAGCAAGTGCGAGGTGGGGCTATTGTGCTCGGTCACAGCGCGGCCGGACTAGACCGCCTCGCGGAGGCCATTAAGGCCAACGCGGGAACCGCGTTGAAGCTTACAACTAGGCGCTCAGAAAAAAGGGCCCCACAGGTCAAGATTGTGGGGGTTGACCCAGGGGTGGAAGCTGCGGACCTAGTTGAGACCCTAACCTCAATGAACGACCTCCCAACCGAAGACCAAAACAAGGTCGTGGCCTCATTTCGGGCAGCATCGGGCACCATGGTCCATATTCTGGAGGTTGGGCCCCAGACGAGGGACATCCTCCTCCAAAAGAGGAGGGTGTATCTCGGATGGACGTCCTGCCCCGTTTATGAGAACCTTGGCGTCCGGCGCTGCACGAAGTGTTGCACTTATGGCCACACAGCTAAAGTGTGCAAAGACCAGTCCTCGGCCTGCACTGAGTGTTCCGGCGACCACCCCGGGGCCAACTGCAGGGCAATTGAGAAGCGGTGCCGTGCATGCGTTCGGAGCAACGAGAAGTTCAAGACGAGATTTCACGTCGAACACTCGTTTGGTTCGAGGGCATGCAGGGCCCTGCTTGAGAAGGAGCAGCAGGCTCGACGATATTTAGCCTACTAAAAGCCCTTTACCAAGCATTCATAGGTACATAGCTCTAATTCAATAGTTATCTTTTCCCGCTTTTGAGCTGAACATACATTAACTTAAAACACTAACTATGACCAGCTCGGATAGCAGACTAGATATCCTGCAGTTTAACGCAAATCACTGTATAAGAGCTATAGACCAACTTAAGATAGATACTATGGAAATTAAACAACGCATCACCTGCATTCAGGAACCTTATTATCTTAAAAACAAGGTTGTGGGATTCAGCATTAAAGATAATGTCATAGCGTTCGAAACAAAACCCAGAGTCGCAATGGTAATTCACGATAACTTTTGCGATGCATTTCCTATTACCGTAGCCAGAGATCTGCTAGTGGTCCGCTGTAACACAGAAAACCAAACGTTTGTGCTAGCAAACGTTTATATACCACCTGATGACGACATAACACCTTGGCTGCAAATAATCACCGAAGTTGTAGAACAGCACAAATCAGAAAAACTTATATTATTAGGAGACTTTAACGCAAAAAACCCCAGCTGGGGGGGACAGAGATTAGACCAGAGAGGAGAGGAATTAGCAGACCTTTTTATAAGCTTAGAATTAGTGTGGATCAATGACAGAAACTCGTCCCCAACTTTCGCCTCACCAAACGGCGAAAGTTGGATTGATCTAACTATTGTAAATGGACACACATTAGGACACATTTCGGATTGGGAGGTTTTGGACACTCCTTCAGGCAGCGACCACAGCTACATCAAAATTACAGCTTTTGGAAACAGGTGCCCAGTCAAAAGACTAACAAAAACAGGCGAGATAAAGGTTATAGACAAATTAATAAAAGACCGCTGGCTTAGGGACATGTCAAGCAGACCTCTCGTTTCCAAAAATCATTTAGAGCATGTAATTAGAACATTTTATGACAAAATTGAAGAACTTACGGAAATATATTCCAAGGTAGTTACCTATCGAGCAAATGAAGTTAAATGGTGGACCCCACAACTTTCTATCGAACGTAAAAAAATTCGGGCGCTTCGGCGCAGATATCAAAATTGCAAAAATAACAATAGAGATCACTTTAAGAAATCCTATTATGAAGCGCACAAAGATTATAAAAGCAACATAAAGGATGCAAAGCAGAGCTCTTTTAAAGAGTTCTCCGGTGTCATCCACGGCAATAATGTTTTTACCCTCCCATATAAGATAGCACTTAACAAACTTAAACGCCCGGTAGTGCTTTGTCCTCTCGTGTTACCAGATGGAGTTCGGACGAAAAGTCTGGCAGAGACAGTACGTTTTATCCTAACAACGCTATTCGAGGATGATGACCCAAACAGCGACTCGGCACATGAGACCAACGCGCGTCTCATGTCACTCGAAGATATCAATACAATCAATGACATACCATTCACTTTAGCAGAGGTAGATGCTGTTTTGGCTAAATTGAAATTAACAACTGCACCAGGAATTGATAATATCAAAACCTTTTTTCTGAGAACAATCTACAACAACTTTAAAGAACTCTTTCTTAAAATTTTCAACGCGTGTCTGGAATTTGGTTATTTCCCCGCTGAATGGAAAGAAGGAAAAATAATACTACTCAAAAAGACAGATAGGGTTGACAGTCCCTCCGGATATAGACCGATCTGTCTGAACTCCATCTTTGGTAAAGTATTAGAAAAATTAATTAACAATAGGCGGTACCATTTCTTACACTCTAAAAAACTACTTCATGAAAACCAATTTGGCTTTACCCACAGAAAGTCTGCAGTAAGCGCGTTATACAAAATTAAAACTAAGCTGGAGGACGTCAAGAGGGAGGGGAAGGGGGCAATCTTGGTGTCTCTGGACATCAAGGGAGCCTTCAACTCGCTCTGGGCCCCAGTAGTAATTAACAAACTAAGAGAAAACAACTGCCCCAGAAATCTCTTCAATTTGGTTCGAGACTTTTTGACAAACCGCAAAATGTCCTACTTAACAAAAAGCGAAAAAATTACTATCGGCTCAGTAAAGGGGTGTCCGCAAGGTTCACCCCTCAGTCCACTTCTTTTCAATGTTGTTATTGCGGATCTTCTTCAACAAAGATTCGAAAACAATATAACGATTCAGGCATTTGCTGACGACGTAACCCTAATAGTAACGGGAAAATCACGGAAAGAACTGGAGGACAATGCAAACCGGGCGCTAAACCTCATTAAAGAATGGGGAGATGAAAAAAGGCTAAGCTTTAACCCGGCCAAGTGCGAAGTTCTTGATATTGGAGATCGGTATAAAAAACGAGTACCAACCATTAAATTGGGAGGTCGCAACCTCACTCATGTAAATTCACTAAAAATCCTCGGGGTCGTTTTCGACTCAAAACTGACATTCACGGCACATGCAGAATATCTAAAATCTAAAATAACTCAAAGCACCCAAGCGCTCGGCATGTTTTCCGGGGTCAACTGGGGCATCAAGGGGACACAATTCAGAGACATTTATATCAGAGGAATAGAACGAGCAATTACGTACGCCGCCCCCGTATGGTGGAAAAATACAAACAATTCGCACTTGGCCAGAAAGCTACAGTCAGTACAAAGAACGCCGCTTTTGAAAATAACTAAAGCATACCGCACCGTTAGCAATATCAACCTTAATATTCTCTCAAACATTATGCCAATAGCACTAACACTCGATAAAGAAGCCGCGTCATTTCACTTGTTTCAGAGAAACAGTGACCACACTATACTTGGGACGACCTGGGAGACGGAAAAAATCCAAAAACTGTTAGATCCCTGGGATACGCACCCAGCAGAAAAAACAGCTGTATCATTCTTTAAAAAAGCGCCTAGCACTGCTCAGCTTAACATCTTCACAGATGGATCTGTCTGTAACCAGACGGTAGGAGCAGCATTTATAATACTAGATGAATCGGAAAAATCAAATAAGAAAGCAATGTACAAATTAGAAAAGCACGCAACAATATATGATGCCGAAATGATTGCAATTCTGAAAAGTCTGGAATACATATCAACTTTTAAAAACAGTACAACCTTTAACCTATTCACGGATAGCTTATCCACACTGCAGGCCCTAGCTAACCCCCACAATAACCATCCAATAATTCAACTCATAAAAAATACCATTAAAACAATTCGAACAATGCATAGTATAAATCTAATGCATGTGAAAGGCCACACTGGGGTGGAGGGAAACGAATTGGCAGATAAACTAGCAAATAAAGCGCGAACTCATGGAGAACCGGTAGCGTTACCCATGGGAAAAAACTATGTCAAAAAAGAAATCAAAATTCAACTCTTTAAAGAATGGGATCAGCGATGGAAAGAGGAGGGGCAAAACTCCGAATTGAGTACATGGATCCCTAGTATATACGATATACCAGACAATTTTCCAGCAAACTTTTACGTCTCACAGGTCGTCACCAATCATGGCAGGCTGCCTTATTACCTCTATAGAGTGAAACTGTCTCCCGACCAAAACTGCTTCTGCGGGAGGCAGTGCGTTAATTTCCTACACTATCTTAATGAATGTCCGTTACTAAAACCTCTCGCGGAACAAGTGTACAGTTTATTGCCCGGCAAAGTGACCACTGTCACGGATAAAGATAAAATTAACATTCTAAAAAACCAAAAAATTCTTAAACTAATTGGAGAAATGTTAAATCTCATTGGGGCAAAATTAGGCACATTAGAACGAAGAGGGCTAACATAACAAAAAAGTGATTGCCTGTCGGAAAAAGCGGGCACAGAGCAATAATCGGTGAGCGTCCCCGCCCGCACCACAGGTGCAAAGTGCTCTGCACCTTCCGACACGCAACACGTGCCCAGGCACTTCCTGGCGCACAGGGAAGAGGGAAGGGATGGGAGGGATGGGGGAAGGGAACTCACAAACACACAGACACACTCACTTGCACAACAACAGGAAGGTG